GCGGGGAATGGGTTAATATGATACTGTTCTGTTTCCGAAAAAGATCATAAGCTTAATCAACTTGTTGGTAGTAAAACAAGCATATTTCGCTCTAAATATATTTTTTGAAAGTCATGCATTTGGAAAGATTAAGTTAACTTAACGCTTAAATATTCTGGTAATTTGGGATTAGGTTTAACCTATAGCGTAACAATTGATTATGGATATTAAAGTAAATATATTATTATTATGAATAGCAGAGGAAATAAAAAAAATCGTTTTTTTCTGCGAAATGTTTTATTAGTTAGTCACAAAGCATCAAATAAAGAAGCGATAAGAATTCTGCCTAAAATGATAAAAAAATAAAATTCACGTATAGTTGGCGCTACATTCTATGTAATAAGCGTATACTTTCCACTTAGTCCGTTGCAACGGAAAACAAGTTTGCATAGAATGCAGCGCCAACTATATGTGAATTTTATTTTTTATCGTTTTAGGCAATAAATCTATGGTTTTCTTATGGCTTCTTTAGTGCCGTCATTAATGAAAGCTAAAATGATCCAAAACTGTTGTGGTTTATATTTTTATTGATAAATTCCACTGGAAAATGGTCTGATCCATGATTGTCACGTGAAACATGTATATGCATATTCCCAACGGTTGAATCATTAGATATGGCATAATCAATTATCTTACCGCTCTTAGCACGAGTGGCTGTGTTTGGTTCCATCAAATACAATCCCGCAGTATTAATCTCTAGTGGCGTTTTATTGAAGTCACCCATCATTACCCATTTTATTGCAGGATGGTTCCTTGCCATAAACTCTTTTATAATTCTAATGGTATTATTTACAGAATTATTATACTGATGCGACCCATGAATGTTGAAATACACGACACCATTCACCTCAATCCCAATAACAGGACGGTTTTTATTGTAGTCACTATTATTTACTGGACTACCGTTATTATCGACTGGAGCCATGTAAAAAGTTCTAGTAGCCTCGACTCTAGTTACAAAGGCACTACTCAGGCTCTTTTTTCCTGATCCACCAACTGCACCAATTTCAGTAAATATCTTGTTGTTTCGATAATACAAAAAAAACTCTGCTTCTGTGTTGAAATGCCATAGGTAGGTAGTGATTCCTGAAGAATTGTCTCGTTGATTCGGTGTAGGATTTATTTGAATATTTTCTACTTCATTGGCAGGTAGAGATATGGTTCCAATACCTGATTTTGCCGCCTGTGGATGCTCATCAGAGATGGGATGTTCACTACACTCTTGAAGAGCCATAACATCGATTCGGTCTACACCTTCTTTGCTGAGCATCAACTTTGCGACATTCTCCCAATTGGAACCTTCGGTGTTCCATGTAACGAAAACAAAATCGCTGACCTCAGTATTCATATTTATTCTGTGGATATTTGAAATAATTATAAAGGATTAAATTATTATTATACTCTTCAACATCGAACATCTGTTTTTGTGTGGTAGTTAATTTTCCCAAAATTCTTCAAAATAACTTGATACTAACTCTCGCAATGCTAATATTTGATGCTTGATAGAATTATTCCTTCGACAATAATAACACTGATCGTTTTAATTTCCCTTGCATATTTGAGAATCGATTCACAATTCGACATTCAAAATATGAATGATTTCACAAAATTATAAAGTTCATATTTATATGTTCTCATCCACATGTTAAAATAACAAAAATTAAATAAATGGGAGTGAAACCATAAACGAACTCTGTATTTGTCGGATACATAAACGGAAATTATTTTTTAAATCTATCCTCAAAACTTCATCCGTTTTAATGGTCTCGGTTTTTTTTTGCGGTTGGTACATTTTAGGTAATTATTAAACAAAAAATTTCAGTTATCAATTTTGTGGCGAAAAACATTCACGCAAATATTTTTTGGCCTTGATGTCTGAATGTTATCTCTGTAAAAAATATACCAGCAACCGCAGACAATATTTGAAGTATCAAATGCGGGCCATGCTGGTGAAAATCCATTCTATTGCACAGGTATTCCATTTTGAATTGACACCAAAAAAACCGTCCACAAGTAATTTCTGTGAGAAAACGGAGACGAAAAGTCAAAACATTTTTCAACAATTAATCATTTCAAACAAATGAATGAAAACATTAATCCAAAAGTCATAGTCAATTTTCCGACACATATAGTTAGTAAATATAGCCGATGTTGTCAAGCCATCAGAAGAAGTGGTAAGGCCGGCAACAAATTCAGACATTGTTATGGAACAAAATCAGACATTGCAATGGATGACAATGAAGCGAATAGCAGTCATTCCTTAGATGGTAATTATTTCATTTATTTTCTTCTTCTTTGAACATGTATGTGGTTTCGTTCATTTTTCGTATTTATTTGTTTAAAGGGATCAATCAATTGAATTCAAGTGGTGATGTGACAGTGGGGTCAGCGCAAAAATAAGCCGAACATGAACTACGATAAACTGTCGCGAGCTTTACGTTATTACTATGATGGTGACACGATAGACAATTAATTTGATTTGAACAAATTTATAAGATGCAAAGATGATTATTCCAGTGGTTGGCAACAAATGGAAACATATTTGGGTTTGCTTCAAGCCGTATGCACAGAAGGCGATGCTCTTGACGCACTTGGATTGAAACGATACTGTTGTCGGCGAGTGCTGTTGGGTCATGTGGATCTGATCAATTGTTGAATTATGCACCATTGGAAAAATAAATTCGCTTCATCATGCCGATGAAATTCATGGTGAAATGATGAACGTTTATATAGATATGAGGTTGCCGATTGGAGTTTTAAAAGTAATATTGGAAGAGAAAACCAAAAAACCTTTAACCAACTACGAAGCTTGGCTTCAAAATGTTGAACAAATTGATCCACTCACAACACTTGTCGATCAAGTGCGAAAAGGACAATGGTTTGTTACAAGTCATTGTCAAAATTTTGCATGACATCAAACGCATAAATATTAGTTACATGTTCTGGATTGAATTTAGCACAAAGTTTGTGCCACAAACTCTCTTTGTTGAATCTGAATAAATGTTCGATGAAAATATGAATAAAGGAATTAAGGTTGAGTTTTTTTTATTTAAATCAGAAAATATACACGCTTCATAAGTGAATTGGGGGAATCCATTGGAATTCAATGTCGAAAGATCCAGAACGCGTGCACCAATTTAATCTTATTCATCAATGAAACAAGGTTGAAAAAACTCTCTTTTATTTAAAAAGAGACAAAGTAAACTTTTGATGGAGCATCCGATTTGCAAGTGGAGAACGGTGTATCTTTGCTTCATCATGATCGTTCGTGAATAGTTGACTTTCAAATGTTTTCATATTAATATTTCTATCGCGCGTCAGTCCAATTGGTAACTTTTTTTGATGAAAAATAACGTTCCTCTTCTGTTACGATAAGCGCGGAAAGTTAAAAGAGAAAATCAATGAGTTTCGTCAGTTTTTTTATTTTTAACGAAAAAATCAAATGAAAATAATAATCAAAGGTTGATACATTTCTATCTTGGTTGTAAATCTTCAATTGACTGAGAAACATTTAATAAAAAAAAACTTGCCTTGATTCATCCACAAAAATCATTTCAATAAACAATTAATAACACGAACATATATGTTTGACTAAAAAGTACAATATACTGCTTAGACGTGTTGACAATAGAAGACATCCAAACGACTCAATGACAAGGGTAATTTATCAAGTTGAATCAATCTGTCGAAGTTGCCGTAAATATTTACATTCTTCAAGTTTTTCTATTCCGAATGCTTTCTTTCAAAGTGTATCGAATGGTTCCAAAAGCGCCACTCCAGTTTGTTAGTTCAGAAAAAAGTGGTTACGTATTCGGTGAGTTTTTCTCATATGGAAAGATGAGGTGCAATGGTAATGTTTAACACATAATGAGTCGCTCCGATTGAAATCATTAAATGTAATACGCTAGTTTTAATTTTCTCTTCTGTTCCGGTGTCGTTCCTATTTGAAGCATAAATTAACAATTAGCAATGAAAAGTGTTGAACGGTGCGTGCGTACGTCTGGCGAAAAGTAATTCAAATGCGTAATGTAATCGAAGAAAGATGTTACATCAAATACGATTACGCTACATTCGTTGTCCAACTCATTAAGATCAGAATCTATGTGAAAATAACAGCGTCAATTCAATGATTTAAATTCGCAAGACACTCGTGGTGTACGAACTTTTAAATGGAAAACATCGGTATTTGACAAATGAATCAACGAAAGCGAAACGAATTACCATTGTTTGGTTTGTTTAGATCTTTTTTAATACGACATATGATTCGCGATGGTGTAATTGTGTTATGATGGCAGCTATTTACTGTGTTGTGTTTTACTCTGTTTTGATCGACAGACTTCATTACCTTAATATTAGTTATCTTTAAATATGAGTTTATGATACAAGTCAGTGTTTCTTTGCTTCTGTCACTTGCATCGCAGCTGTGCATTGAGTAAAATTAACGAAAAACAATTACCATATTTTGAGTTGTTGTTGTAATTGCAACAACAAATCTATGTAAAAAATGCATGTTGTTCTTTTATTTTCATCGGGATTTGAGCTCACTTTAATTCTCACCCATTCAATTGGGAAGCGACAATTTCATTAGCCCGTGATTCGTTACTCTTAACTTGTATTTGTGACTTTGGCCTAAAAATATAATAAAACCTTTCACCTGAAACACAAAATCGGTCGCTAGATCATATCATTTCCTAGAAAAAGTTTCCAATTGATAATAAAAGGAGAAAGACGAATGAGTTTATGCTGTAGCTTCGTTTTATTCTTTGAAAGATTCCGGTATTTCTCACAATAATTTTCTTTGAAAGGGAATACTTTTTTGTTCGATGTATTGGCAAGATACATTTCGTCATAATTAGAACCCGTTCAGTGGTGACATCTCTTCGATTTAATTTCTTGTGCTTTGAACAAATAATTTCTTTTAAATGCAAACAAATACAAGATTTATACTTAAATTTTTTCTAGACATTCTTCGACAGTGAAAAGCTTTTTATTCTGTGACTTCATTTCGTTATTAAGTCGTCTTAGGTGTGATTTTAAAGAAGATTCTGTGGAGAATAGACTGAAACAATGAGAGCATCGGAATGATACGATATGAGTGCGCATATGTCTGACTAAATTATCTTTACGTACGGTGTCATATTTGCACAAGTAACATTCAAATAGGTGTGGAGTGCAGTTTTTCTCGTGCGCAATCTTGGTCCGTTGCACCGT